TTGAAAGAAAACCATGCATTTTTGCAGTTTGTTATTCTATCAACACAAGGCTTTGCAAACCCCACCATCCCTGCATGACAAAAAAGATTTTTCAAACCAGTCGAAACGTCCACCCAGTTATAGTATTTTACCCTATCTAAAGTCATTTTGGGGGCTGTGCCATCTACTCTTAAACCACTGTATATGGACACTTCCCTCCAGCCAATGTCAGTCGGTTGAGTTGCTGAATTGCAGAATTTCAGCGTGAGATATGGCCCAGACACTCCATGCGTATGGCATATGTACCAATATACCTACTGTAGATTGGCAGTTGCATCGAGGTCAATATGATGAACATGTCTATTATATCGTGGGTGAGTTGGTCTTGGCAAGCTTGACCCCGAAACGCCCTTTTCGGTCAACTCATCCAGTTTCCTTCGGGACGACGGACTGTCTGGGCACGAGGTGACGACGAGAGCAGTGGATGACAGGCTGCGGGAGAGCTTGGCTTTGGCCAGTGCCCTCACAGGCCTCCATCGGTGGCTTTGATCGCGCGAACTCGCTCTTGGTGCCCGGAAACCTCAAAATCCCTGCGGAAGCGAATTTCTAACGGCTCAAATGCCGGATGGTTGTCCCCACAACCCTGCTGAGGGCCGAGCTGGACAATGCTTCAGCAGCCGTGTTTTGCAAGGTGTGCGAGCTACTTAAAGGGAGGTTGGTGGCTTGGCGTGGAGTGGAACGGCCATGTGGGCCAACCTCCCACAACAAGAGTTGAGCTTGCGGATTTGGGTTCAACCGGTTCAACCCGCGGATTTTGGGGCTCCTGGCATCGCTACTGGGAGCAAGGACGCTACTACAGGCCGACCCGCAAGATGCTTCCAGACTTCTGGCCGTCCTGATTCGACCTACCTGGCGGCTCCCTAAGTCTGACTCATTGGTCGAAGCCTCACTGTCGCATCTCAGATGGTACCATTGCGATGGTAGGCCAGATACGAGAACCACAGCCATGGCCCATGAAAAACCGAAACTGTTTTTTTGGGGGGGGTGATTTAATTTCGATGGATGACCTGTTTGTTTGATCTGCCAAACAGATCCAATGTCACGAAAGTTCCATTCTCCGCCTCACAGTAAACTAGGTCGGAGCGTTGCACAAGTGGAAATCATCCTGAAGCAGAAGAAATGATTATTCTGAAACCAGAACCTTGCGCAAGCCGTTGAAGACTCACCGTCCAGGCAACCCAAAGCCATTGGGCCCGGCATCCAGTCATGGCGCTTGGTTGCCAAACGGCGGTGCCTCAACCGTGAGAATTTGAAGGAAGGGTTCTTGTTCGGATAGGACAAGGAAATACAGAAGTAAGACTCCCTCAGAAGTCGTTTTGACCTTCCAGAACAGGACTGTTGGATGCTCAAGCTTGACCTTTTCAGGTCATAGGTAGGTAGGTCTCTTCGGACTGAGTTCCTTTTCTCCACTTCCCTGTGAGGGTCGTAGGCACCGGCTCCCACCTTCAAGGCTACGCCTTCGCGGTGTCCTGCCCACAGCCTGGTGTCGCAACTCGCTTGCCTCAGCACAGTCGTGTGATGAAAGAGCAGTGTACATTTGGAGGGGTTCAGAGACCTGTGACCAGAGGATGTAGAAGCATATGCGAGTGATGCTCGAAGTGGTAGAGAGGCTCAACATCGATATCATTGACATTCATTGAACCCTTCCTCCAACCAATCCCCATTGGGATACGAGTTCCGTGTAATTAATCCCTTTCCTCTTCAAGCATATCCCCCAAAAGGGAGGAAGCAAGCAATCTCGGGGTGAACTGCAACTGAGGTGATGTCCTTCGTGCCACGACTGAAGTTCATGCCGGCCCTTAAGCCATTGAGAATTCAGGAGAAGAGAAGACAGGTACAAAATCTGCAGAAGGCAAATCCCTGTATATCAAGACTGGATAGCTTCTGTTGGTGTGGGCCCGGGATGGGTGGGCTGGATGCCTTTCCAAATTGAGTGTGCTCCCCAAGTGGCTGGGCACGTTTTTCATTTGCAGGTGAAGATCCACTGGTTGGAAGTACACAAACCCTCCCAGTCTAGTTCATCCAAAGGAAACCTATGGAATTCTACAACACTGCAGTTGCGGAACTGTTGCACCACAAAGCGCAGCACGAAGCATGCGAGACCTTTCGCACCCATCACCCAATGGTGTTAATGATTGACTTCACACCTGATGCCCATTGTTTTTGGATCCGCCAATTGATGCATTCCTCCGAAGATGTGCTGCGCAACACCAACTCACCGGGTCTCCGAAGCTGTAGAATTAGCACCCCAGGACATGTCAACTGCCGTTCTCTCGATGACTAATAATATATGCATTATGTTGAGAACCTGTTCCGCCCCGTGGGTGGAAAGGATGCAACTAAATGCAACTAAGGACTTTGCTCCCTGCAAGGGCCTGGCCTTGCGTGGCAAGGGCTCCAAGGTTGAGATGAGCTTCAAGGGTCAGGACTGCACGAACCACCGCCTTCCCCTCGCTCCAGGCATCGCCCGCCAGCTCCATCGTGCCAATGCCGCCCCCAAGCGGTGTTTTCCTTCATGTTCTCAGTGCCGGGATAGGGGTTTCCTGTAGGGAGACGTATCCCGTTGTTTGGGTAGGCTGTTCATGTTGGTTTCAAGATGCCAAGGGTCACTGTTGCAAACCCCAGGTCGATGTGTCGCATTTTCAAGTGCATCAGCCTGCGCATTCTAGGAGACAAAGCTGGTGGGTCTCTGGGCTGCAGGGGCTACAACTCACAAGTGAAAGACCGTCTCCACGTTTGGACTCAAACTGTTGGTGTTTTGGAAGTACAGCTGGCCAAGGAGCCAAGGATGGGAACGTTAAACATCTTCAACCAAAAGAACCTCATCTCTTTGAACAGTCGCCAAGGTGAACTGCAGCCATTGAGTAACAAGAAGTCCTTCTCGGTCTCGACCTCCTGCAGAATGCCCGTGCTTGGATGCAGTAGACAGTTTGTCCTTCAAACTCTGTGGCATGCCATCCCAACACCAAGGATACGGTCTGACATGGTCTGACAAAGTTAGTACACTCTTTCGTGTGCCTGTGTGAAGCTGCCATGCCTTGTACTTCTCCAGCCTATGGATACTACTTTTTGGGGAACTGCCCATGCAGAGGCGCCAATTGGGGCAGTGGAGCCCACCATGGCAGATTCCCACAACTCAGGTTGGTTAGACATTCGTCGGACACAACCAGGTGGGGCCAGGCAGCTTCGTGGCTGATGAAACTTTACTTATATAACTATACTTGTACCATAACCATAACTATACTACTTATTTAGCCTATTTCCTTCCTATTGTGTTCCTTTTCACTGTTTGGGGTCTCTTGCCGGATAATTTGTTTGAAGCAAATTCTTTATTTGGACGTGGGCATCTCAAAGTGTGGTTTCTCTAATGCGTTCGCATCGCAAAGATGTCCAGGGGTCAAGGTGAGTCCTGATTCAGCTATAGATAAGATAGATGATGCCCCTTGTGCATCGCAGTACCTCAACAACAATGCTTTTGTGTGATCTCCGGGCAGGCTTTAGCAATCTTCAATCGACACTGGGGACGTTCTAACAATACTGGTATTCTTGCAAAGACGTCCGCGAGACTGGCTACCGGGTAGCAACAGGATTTGCTGGCTCTCTTTATTCTTTACGTCGCTATGCTAGACTAGACCGGTGCTGATTTACCACTGATATTTGGCGTTCTGCTCAGAGGTGTGGTCATTTGCCATTGGATGGGCATGGTTCCTTTTGCTTTGGACCACGAAATGGCTCGTCAGCTCCGTCAGGCGACGTACGCACTTGCTGGCCTGACTTGCTAAAGTGCAACGCACCAAATGGCAATGTGAAGAATCCAAGACAATCACTGTCCAAAGATCTTATCAGTCCCTTTGAAAACTTTGTCCACAAGTTTGATCATTGGAATCATTGGCTCGATGAAGCGAATACTGGATTTGGGGGAGTGAAGCTGGGGCCCATACATGTCGGCAAAGAAGCCGGTGGGCCAAGTGAGCTCCAGCTCCCGAATGAACGATGCAGACGGTGGATGCGCAGCCTTGGACATCCGCTGGACCAATCCATCCAGCGAATGGACAACCAGGTAAGCGTGATGTGCTGATTATATATTATATGTTGGACTATCGGATGTTGTTGGCTACTTGGGTTTGAAAACGTGAGCTGACAACTTCTCAGTGTGGCACAATCCCAGAATGTATGTGTCAGATCTTGGGCCACCCTTGACACCAAATGCCAGAAGAAAGGTCGGCAAAAAAAACGCAAGGCATCGTCAGCTGACCTGCCGGATTTGCTGCATCGCCGAGCATGACTTTGGCATACCTCGGCTGGAACATGGTGACAAGACCTCTTTGGCGCCTTCTGGTTGTCAGAGTCTGTTGGGACATTTCCTGTTGTGAAAACGTTGAAAGAAGTACATACCTTATCAATTTTATCGCGTCACCTCGCCAGTAAAATGTCTAAAAAAGACAGTACTGTTCTAGTGACTTTTAGTTTTCGTAAGTGCCACCTTATTAATATGTCCATACTCACCTTATTAATATTAGTGACAGTTATGTTTAGTTTTAGTACCTTATCAACCTTCACGGTTGAACCGTTTACAGTATATTCCTTGAAGGGTCTGCAGGATGGCACAAGTCCCAAGAGGTGGAAACAATGCGACCGAGTCACAAGAGGTGAAAGCACCAGGGTGAAAGATGGTGTAGGAGGCAAGCTACTAATAGCTTCTTGTTACTAGTCAAAGGAAGTTTAGTGTACGAAACTTCCGTGTTACGGACATTCAAGAACTGTTCATACAGTTCATACACCACTCATCAATACACCACTCATCATACACCACTCATCATACACCACTCATCATACA